AAATTTCAGTGCTTGTGAGGAAGTCAGAATATATTCTTGCTTGGGTTAAAGGGAAGGAAGAGAAAAAGCCCTGAATTAAATTTTTGAGCTCGACACCCTCCATTTTTCTACATGTTGCTCAATTCTAAACAGGGAAAATAAAATCAGCTTTGTTCATGAGCATATGCTTTTGACATTTTTTCTTCTTGGAGCCTGTGAATTATTAATAAACTAATTTCTCTTTATAGTTCAATCTTTGGAGACTTAAAATGCTCACTCAAATGCACCGAACAAGAGGAATGCTTCAGCTCCAATCAGCTCCTGTCTTCTTTGGAAATGCTGGCCTTGAGGTATTTTTGAGTCTTTGAAATCAATCTTTTATTCAACTGGGAATTTCTGATGGCTTGGAGGTCTAGGCTGTTAATTCTGCCTAATGCCCTGTTTAAGTTTGGGGCATTTCAGTTGGCTGATTTTCTGCTTTCACTTTGTTAAGGGGCTAAGAGCATCCCTTTCCCCCTTCACCACACCCCCTGTTTCTTTTTCACCAAGTAGAATCAAAAATGTTTGTTGAGCTCAACAAGTCAATGGGGGTGGGATGATCTAGAAAACATTCAAGATGGCACTTAAATAAGATCTTTCTGAGTTTTTCAAAGCCAATTTATTACAGCTTGATCAGGAGTGGAGGTGTCAAAGGGATCCCCATGCTCTCTCCTGCAGGCTTTTGTCACAACTGCCTTAACTGAGGGTTTCTCATGCTGCTGGCACCAGTAGCACTATCACAGTTAAGCCAGAGAGAGGGGAATCAGGAAAAGAAGGGGATCAGAGTGAGGTCCCAAAGTCCTGTACACACCAGCCATTCAGGATTATGAACAGCCTGCAACAACTTGTCTGTCCAATTTTGTCTGCTGTCCTCTGGATAGTTTGAACCAAGATGTGAACCTTAGGATAAGCACACAACACCTTCTATACAGTGCTAACATGAACCAGAAATCAGTAGATTAACAACCTTCACTAATCAACTGTGATTTCCTCTTCATCAGAGCCTGGGCTGAGAGCTGAACAAACTCATTTCATTTGTGACCCTGTATGCATATGAAACAAAAGCTCTCAATGATAAAGCAACATTGTTTGGTCCTTCCATTCTCATGCTTCTAAAAATACCCCAACAAATTACTGAAAAAGGTCCGCATGAAATTTAAAAATAGGCTGAGGGAGTGGGTTACAAGTCACTGAGCTGCATGTGGTTAAAGAAAAACAAGAACAACAAAATCACAGCGCTAAATTAAGCTGTACAACACAATTTCGTTTACCAGAAATATTTAACTGGAGAAAACCACATTAAGGCAGTGGGCTCATTAACAAAAATGTCCTGTGCAGAGGTGGTTTCCCAGTTAACACTGGTGGGGGGGTTGGAAATCTGACTCCTGAAAGAAACAGAAAAAGCATTTAAAGAAAAAACTTCTGGGTTTCTCTCACGTCTGATGTGTTTCTCTTGCTTAGCCCTCATTACTGAGGCTATTTGCATTGAAAACTCTGAGCCAGACTCTTGATCTCCTTCATGCTGGGGTAAATCTGCAGTAGCTCTACTGGGTGATGCAGAGCTCAGTGCGGCTCTGAGCTCTGGTCATGCAAACCTATAGCATGAGCAGTAGTGGTGGTAGCACAGAGGGACACAGCTGAGTTTTCTGTGTATGATTTATTTTCCATCTCTCTCTGAGGTCTCAGCAGCTCTGCAAGGCCAGGAAAACACATCCAAACCTGGGAAAGGGAAACCTTTTACTTTGCCAGTGTGCAGGAGGATTCCCATTGAGGAGCAAAAGCGATTTGGTTCCAGCCTCCCATCAAGTCAATGGGATTCGTGCACCTCAGCCCATGAAGGTCTTTGGGAAATTCCAGCCATGAAGGTTAATTATAAGCTTTTAATTAATCAGACATTCACTGTGGGCTGAAGTGGCCTGGCTGACTGAGCACCAGCCTGGGAGGCCTGTAATTAACACTGCTGGTGCCTGGGGAGCAGAGCAGCACTGAGGCAGCCTCAGGTCTCACATGCTGGGTGGACTATACAGGATGGTGCTGGAGATGCTACAGGGTCAGGGCTAAGACTCAGGCTGCGCAGAGCGTTTGTGCCATCGGTGCTGACTGTGGTGCATTCTGCAAGTGGGCTTCACCCAGCTCCCCAGAGGTGGACAAAAGATAGTATTTAGCAGGAGAACAGGTTGTAAAACAGGTAAAAAGAAACTAGGGGTTTATTATAGCTTATGCACTGAAATACTACAATAAGTTGGCAGCTGGAATTAAAAATCCAAACTGGCTAGCTTTGCAAAGCTTTTGAAAAGAGTCTTCTTAACTTAAAATTGCCGAAAAAATTGAGGTAGCAATAAATGACATATCTGAACTTCTTTTTTTCATAAGTGTAAATGATAATTACTGAGCTACACAAGAGTATATGATCTGTAGGTGTTCTCTGGCCAGTTAAAGAACAATTGTTTGGCTGGTACTCCAGAGATACCTGCAAAAGGGAGGGACTTGGCTGTCTGCCTGCAGAATATGGTCTGAGAGAGAACTTCTGGCCTCCCTCAAACTGATGGCAAAGTAGCAGTGACTTCAGGGGATCTGGAATTTCTCTCAAATAATGTTATTAGCAATGTTTCAATCCTCTTTAACTTAATAAAAACAAAATGGCAGGACTAGGGAGAGATGCTGATGAGGTAAGAAAAAAGCCATTTCATTTCTCCCAAAATTACAGGAACTCTTTTTTTTCCTTTGAATATATGCTGCATTTCTTAATAAGAGAGAAAAATGCGACATGGGAGAAAATAAATTTCAGGTGATGTACTGAAACATTTTTAACCAATTTATGGAAGCTGAATCCAAAAGAACTCCAAAAACAATATGAGGTCAACAGAAGAAAAGGAGATAAATATCCCCATTCCTGGAGGATGCCTGTTTCTTTAAGCAGCTGTTTCTTGTCTCTGAGGTAACAAAGTTGTCATGTGATGCATCTGTTACCATGGCAATAATCTGTAATTGTGCAGAAAATCCACCAAAGTAGCGTGCAACTCCTTAGTGAATTGGACAGCGAGAAAAATCACCCCTGTACAAGCCTTGAATTGATGATGTTGTGAAACTGCATTGGCCAAGTCAGCCCAGTTTCACCTCCAATGAATCTCCTGTATGTATTTGCTCTGGTTCTGGTGTCTAGTTTTTGTTTGGTCTTTAAATATGTCCCTTGCTCATACATTCATGGCTGGTAAATGGTGTGCACCTTAGTGCGCACTTGTGCCTCCCCTGTCCCATTCAGGGCACCTTATATAAAGTAAAGGATCTCAGCACTCCACTGTTTTGGCCAAAGGTTCAAGAACTGTAACTATTGAGCCATTCTTTTCAAGCACAGGTGATAAAATGGCATTAAATTTTGTACCCTGCTACACTTGCAATAGGAACAAGGTTCCTATATTTATTTTATCTCAATCTTCCAGTGGGGCAGCCTCCAACATCTGCATTGTCTCTGTGTCTTCATCAGGATGAGTCATTCCAAAGGTACCTTGGGAACAACTCCCACACACACTCATGCAGTATTTTTATTTATATATAATATATAGATTTAAATAAATCTGCTAGCAGGCCAAGTTCAGTATCCCTTAAAACCATCTGAAAATAGCAACACAAAAGGATGAGAAGATGAAATCTGCAAAACTTTCTTCCCTGCATTAGTCATAAAATAAACTGCTGGAATTTACAAAGAAAATCCTTGAGCATTTTGGGTCATCTGCTCATGATATCATAGGGCTAAAAGTGCTTGCTACTATCCAAATCAAAACGCCAGAGATATCTCATGAGAATATGCCTCGTGGGCAAATCCCAAAAGGAGAACATCTGGATTTAAGATGCCATTGCCCTGTACTTAACCCTAAGCCACTGAGAAAAATGACTATTCTCCTGCTCTCACTCTCTCTATGTTATTAGTAAATATTTATACTATACAAACACCCAAAGGCCTCAAATAAGAGTAGACTTCCATCTTGAGGCTTGTGCAGGCCTAACAGAGGGATGAATCCCCCTCTGCTCTGAAGAGCTTGTTCGTTATTTACTTTTCCTTTCAGCTACAGTGCCATAAGCTGCCTCATGCCAACAGCTGACTGATTTCATGTTATTGGCCATTAGATGAGGCCCTCGATCCTCCCATAGGAAAACACAAAAGGTGTTGTGTTCAGTGGTGTTAGTTCAACTGAGGCAGCTCAGAATCAGTGAAAACTCTTTTTGAATTGTGCCCACACCAGCAGTCCCACCTTCAGCTTTGCCTACCCAGGTTCTAATATAAGCCATTTATCTTGAGTTAATAACATAAAACTGCTTTGTCCTCCCTTGTAGTGTAGAAGGTGTTAGACTGATGTGGATGATTTGGTACTGCATCACACTGAAATTCAAGCCTAAAACCACACCTTCTCACAGCATGGCATTTGCAAATGAATAGATTGGGAGTTTCCCCCACCCTGCCTGCTCTTTAAGGCCAAAATGAGTGCCTCATCTGCAGAAGTGGGGCTATATCTGAGGTTGGAAAGACCTTACAGAAAGCCATTTGCTCTCTGGCACGTGCTCTACCAGCTGAACTCAAGCCCACCGAGTGGACAATCTGAGATCTGCCTTCCTCCACACAGTTTTAAAGGATGTATTCTGACATCTTAGTTGTGGGGCCTCATCAGATCATAACCTGAGCCTCCTGCAGCCATTCCTGAAGGGGAGAAGTATGACCCTAGTGTAGAACAAAAGTAGCTTCCAAACTGCCACAGGACCTTTTTTCATCTAAAGAGTTTGCCTCCAGCCTCCTTCACTTGGTGGTTTCTGATGAGATGAAAACAACCCAGTAACACCCTGGATGAATCTCCCCTTGCTGAGGATGCTCCCCATTTGTGCATTCCTCAACACATCTGGCAAAGGGAAAACAAAATTAACGTAATTAATTGAAGTAGGGCCTGGGCTGGGCTTCTTCACTTTTTTCAACAAGGACCCAATCAGAGCTGTGTACCTGAGGGACCTGAGCTTATAAGGGCTGTGGGAGGAGCAGGAGGGAGGTGGAAGTTGGTTTTGAAGTTTTACTTCTGCCTGGGCATGGTATGACTGGTGTCTGAGAATTATATATCATTGTTATAGCTAAATTCCTTTTTCCCTGGGGAAGCTGCAGAAGAGGTAGGGGAGTGGTATGTGATGGATCTGGGGGCCATGCAAGGGAAAGGGCTGACTTAGAGCACAATAAAGCTGGGTCTTCCTGGGGTTCTGAGCTTGGCCCTGTAATAGTTGGCTCTGTTGTGAGGCTCTGCTGCTCCTCTCTCATCTCTTTGCAACTTTCCTGCTGCACATGCCTTTTACCTCACGAGTCCTCCTCTAGATGACTCCATGTGTTCTCCCTGCCTTGTGAGATAGGAAAGCTGCTGTGGCCACTGTGGGAAGCCAGGAAGCTGTGGCTGAAGCAGAACTATTCTGAAATAAGTGCTTAGGAATGCTGTGACCTCTTGCCTCACTGAAGCACACTTTGGTTTCTTTTTTTCAGAGAGCACGTACAAAGAGCTGTTTGTACATAGCTTTAATCTGTTTGCACACATACACAGATTCAACCAGGGCAGGTGGAAAGGAGAAGGGATCACTGCTCTGCCCATTTTAGGTGTTTGAGACTCTAGACAGCTGTGACAAACTGCAGTCTTTTTGCTACCTTAAAAAACCATAATGGACCGCTTTGGTAATTTTAGCTGTAAATGCACTTCTGCTGTATCATAGGACAGTGCTTGAGTATGAGAAAAGAGAGAGAAATACTAGAAGCACAGAAATAATGTGGTGACAGGCCAGAGAAAAGCTTATAACACACCCACAGAGTGTTTCCTGTGGAAACAATATTCTCCTGGTTTTGTCCAAGATGCTCTTGCTTGCCTGGTTTAAGAAGTAATTTCTCAGAGCTGTATTTTAGATGTTCAGCTCTTGTAAACTCTTCACAGTTTAATACATTGCAGCTTTTCTGCCGGCCAAGTTTGAGTCACTGGTTTAAAATTGCGCCCATCACCACAGTCATCAATTTCACTGTTAACTTCCCATCTCCTCTCATCCCAGGCTCTACCTAATGATCATAACCTGTGATCCCAGTTTGTGCAGCGTCGATGACTAAAGAAGCTTGTTGATCTCAGTCTTCCCCTTTATTTGGACAAAGCAGATAAATAAGGTAAGTGGTATGTGTATAAAAGTGAATTTAGGTGAAGTCTCATGAAATCTGTGTGGGCATTGCCTGAAAAGAAAGATGAAAACTATGATGAAAAGTGTGGAGCATGGACCTGAGGGAGGGATGGCACTTGGGGAGGGTGTCTGCTGGTGTGCTACTACTGCTGTATAATGGGAACAGAAGCTTTGAGGCTCCTTGCAGACTGCAGTGGTTGCTGGATGTAGCCGGGAAGGAATTGTCTCTTGGATGATGTTACTAGGGTCACTAGGATGTAGCATGCAGTATAGCTCACGGGGTAGGACCTCCTAAGGAGGTCTCACCCACTGAATCCTTGTCCTGAATGGGTCTTACAGGGTTGATGGCGCTCAATCTCCTGTTGCAATCACAACACAGCAGTAGTGGACATTTCACTGCTACTGGCATACCATGGGGTGCAGTGCAGGCCCTGTGGGGTGCAAAAGCTTGAGTGAGGGATGCAATGCTTTCTTCCAGTCTCAAAGTCTGTGAAATGGAAATTGAAGGAAAACTTGATTCAAACAAGAAGTTGAGTTGTGGCTGTGTTAGGCTTTACATGGTTGCTTGATGATCGGTAGATATTGGTGGGCTGTGAGTCAGGCTGTGTGCTGGAGAAAGGTTTTGGGAAGGGCTTAATTAGCACCAACACAGTAGAAGGCCCTGCTGGTAGCTAAATGCTGTGGTGTGAGGAGGAGCCTGAAAGGCCAAAACTGAGCTTTGGAAAGCTTTGGTGTTTGTGTAAAGCCAAGTAGGGGTGCACTGAATGGAGCTGGGGAACAAAGAAGACCTTAGGTTGTTTAAGTCTTTTAACAGAAATCTCAAAGAGCAACAGCTATCACCAGAAACATTTCACACTGAGTCAATAAAACTGATCCAGTTTTTGTTCAAAGAAACCCTTTAACAATTCAAATCCTTTAAGGGAGCCAATACACAGGCTTGTCTTTCCATAGGGCTTACTGGCATTTTGCTCCAGTTACTTTCCATGCCTTGTTGAAAGGGATGCTGCTTTTCAGGCACATATTTCTGGTATACATCTTCCTAAAAGCGTTTGGATCTGTATGTAATCTGAATGGTGGTGGCTAAAATAGTCCATATGGCTGCACATCCACAGAATGTGGGGATGGATATCTTAGGAGGTCATCTTGTCTCTCACTCTGGGACACTCATTCTCCTCCAAAGGCTGAGCAACTTGCTCAGTTACAGATGTAACTGAGCATTACATCTGTCCCTGCTGGGCTTGCCATGCACTGCTGGTTGGGATAGCAGGAAAGGACAGAGCTGCAAAGTCTTGGGAGAGGGAGTATATTTCTTCTCCCACATCTATCCACCTACAGATATAGATGCCTACACACATCTCTACCTTCCTCCCACCTCCCTTTCTTTCCAAGCCATGAGATTTGGACATAATGTTTTTATAGTGCCTCAGAAATCAATCTGTTCAGTAACTTGACTGAGAATAAGTAATGCAGCTACATACTTCTGAACAGTTATATGTGCAAGATCTGTTTGTACGATATCCTACAGTCTTCCTAACATCTGGTTCTAGCCAGTTGCTATCAGCCCTGTGGTTTTATAAGCCCTAAATTAATTCAGTTTTTAATGCAGGGGAAAAAAAATGCAGCCCCAAAAGCATAACATTTACAGGCATTTTTTGTGGGAGTGGAGACAGGAGGCCAAGTTCTGCTCTCAGACAGAGTCCAGCCTTTGCATTTTTGGGTGGGCCTCTGAAACCATATTTTTTCCTTAAGTGGCCTCCTTTTCAGCCAAACTAAACTGATTCCTGTCAACTATTATCACTCCAGTGTTGAATGGGTTTGGCATAGAAACCTGCAGGAGGGACGACAAGATGGCTTTTTGGGATGCTTTTCAAATACTAACTGAACTGTTGTATATGCAGTGTTCATGTGTCCCTTGGCTTTTAGGAAGGAGGAGAGAGCGATAGGGTGGTTTCATGTATCTGGTGGCTTAGCCTGCCTGTTTTCTCACCTGGTGTCCATCAAGTGCTGTGCTCAGTGGAGCTAAGCAGAGATAACTTGCTTACCCATTAGGCTGCAGCATAGCAGGGTCCCTCCCTGAGAAGCTTTTTCAGTGCAGCTCTGAACATGCAAGAGAGAAACTCTATGCTCCAAAGCCACCTGCTCAGGATCAGCAGAGACTACTAAGGGTGGATTTTTATTGAGCACATATGAGACAGGAGATGATCCAAAAGCATGAGGCTCATTCAAATCTCTCCCTAAGAAAACCAACCATCTAGAAAACCACTACCACTGAGGCAGTTGCTAACACAACTGGCAAACCCCTCAATAACAAGATACATTTCTGGGGAAACCCAAACCCTTGTTATCCACATGCGGTTTACAAGAGGGTTGACCAGCTGCTGACTTGCTGTTGTAGCCAAATTACCTGCTTACTATCATGCTATCCTTTGTATTCTCATCCCAGTTTGGTGTTCAACCTCTTCTCCCGTGCTAAGACTCTAAGGTGATAGTGACACGCTGAGGGATGAGACCTGTCCTTAAATATTTTGAATTATAACTGTCCTGAATAATTTGCATCAGATCACCAAGGCCACTGAAAACTTCAGCAATGCTAGCACAGATACCACATAGCAGTGGTCCTGTTTGGTCTTCAACGGAACAGAAGTGCATTCACAGGAGAAAGAGAGGCAGCAAACCAGATACTGCTTATACTTTGAGTCACTGAAGGGTTGTAGTTCACATATGGATGAAATTTGGCTCTGGAATAACATAATGTAGTTATAAGTGGAATAAATCTGGTCCACCACTTCTTTTCCTGCCTGTTATGTTTTAAAAGACAAACTATCCTTGCGTTACATATGCACATAAAACATGGGTAGTTGAAATGGGTAACTGTGTAAGGCTCTGAGTAGGACTTGATGGGTTCTTTTGGCCAAGCCTCACTTTCTGGAAAGGATCAGAGTGAACAGACACATCTCCTTATAGAGATCCTGCTAAACTGTGGCTGGTAATGGTGTGGCAGGAATTCAGATCCTGCAGAACTGCATATACGTTTCCACAGTTATTTTTCTGTTGTTACCAAACACTCAGAGAAAGGCTATGCTGTGGTCATATAGACAGGAAAATGACATCATGCTTAAAACCACTAATCCAAAAGCTTTGGAATCTGAAAGACAAACTGTATTCTAATTAGAACCAAAAAAAAAAACCAAACCCCAATGACATTTGAAATGGAGAAATTTCTTGGATTATTATTATTTTAAAATCTTCCCCTGGCTTCCCTTCCAGCCAGAGCTGTGACAAGTGCATTGGAGCTGATAATAAACACACACCTCTGAGGTCACAGCTAGGATTTTTAATTTAAATAAATAAATAAGGATGAATTTTCCAGTCTCCAGGGAGCCAGCACTCGGGAGCATGCAGCAGAGAGTGCTCTGCAGGGTCAGTGTGGAAGATGGGGGTTTTTTGCTGTTTAGCATAGATGTTTTTTTCCATTATTTGAAAATACAAAACAGTCTAAGTCTGTACTTCTCCTCTCCAAGGTTGGTAGGTGGTAACAACAGGCTTTGGGATGGCGATACTTTGCATGGGTTATTCACTGCGTGGGAAACCCCAGAATTACTCACAGCAGGCATGCTGTTTTAGGAGGTCAGCAGATGTGACCAGCTCATCCTGCTATGGATGATGACAGCTGGCTAGAGAAATGTTGAAGAAACCATATTCCACCAGCTGCTGGGTTCTGCATGTCCCAGTGCTGCTGCACCTCTTGGAAATGAGTCAACTTTGTTTTGGGGGGAAAACAGGGTGGAGGAATCCCAACAATGTTAAAATCTACTTATCGACACACAAAAAATTAAAAAAAACAAACCAACAAACAAGCCTGTTTCTTAATCTGAAACAAATTTTCCCTTAAATTTCTTAGCATTTTGTGGGAGCTAACTGGAAATTGATTGAAACAAAAATTAAATATTTTAATCCCCAAAATCTGCTTTCCTTTTTTTCTTAGAAACTTCTATTGTAGAAAACTGAATTCTGGGGGGAGAAGAGGGTGTAGTTACTTAGACAAGACAGCAACACTTTGAACTCCAAATTATAAACTCTTCAGGAAATGCATCTTCCATCCTGAAGCCAGGTCACTTCATTTCCTACTTGAGTCTAAGTAATTGCTCAAATACAACATCTTCACCCCCTCCCCAAAATGAGGTACCTGTAATTCCCGAAGATGCATTGCAGAAGCTGGTGTCTACAGAGACACTTGAACCAATGCTGTATGTCATCCCCACTCAAGAAATTCTGTTTGAGTAGCCCTTTGTTTTTGCATGCTCAGTTACACTGCAAGCTAGGCAAACGGGCTCCCCATCCTCTGCCTCTGCTCACTTTACCGCTGTCCACATCTGGAGTATAACATAATGAGGATAATTATAGAGGCTGTTGCAAGGAATCACCTGCTATCATGCACCTGCCAACAGGGTGGATTAACTGTCTGCTTCTTTTAGGAATGGAATAAATCCTGACATATTTTGAAAATGTACCCTCACTTGCTTCTGAGTTTCTGTTCTGCTCGGTTTCACCTCGGTCATAGCTGGTTTTCTAAAAGTGCCACTATTCATATTGAATTTGCACCTTGCAAGCACCTGCAGGCTGATTGCTTGGCATGGACTGTTCCTTATTGATTTTTTTTTTCCTTTTTCTTTTGTGTTCTGCTTTGTTTTATAACATTTCGTGGTGTACACAGCAACTTTACGGATGCTGGGCTAGCTTACTAATTGGTTTCACAACTCTGAGTATGGATTTAGCAGGGTCTTTGCTGGTGCTTGCTTATTTCTTTTTCCCATGGAAATGAAAGCAAGAAGCAGCGTGATAATGTTATAGTACTAATCGTTACTTCCTATGACTGCCTTTCTGCAGGCCACCAAAATTATTTAGTTGCTGAGAGAGGGCAGATCGCATGAGGTCCTCTAGACTGAACATTTCATGAGGCAGAGGAGGTTTCTTCCAGTGTCAGTGGAG